GTGTGTGTGTGTGTGTGTGTGTGTGTGTGTGTGTGTGTGTGTGTGTGTGTGTGTGTGTGTGTGTGTGTGTGTGTGTGTGTGGGTTGGCATGCATGCGTGTGTGAGTGTGTGTCTGCGAATGTGTTGTCTTATTCTCTAAACACTTAAGAAAAGCATGACTGTGCTACACTAAAAAAAAGCATGACTGTGCCAGACTGTTTCTTTGGACTTTCACCGACTCATCAGGGGGTTGAACCTCGACAGTCTGCCCAGCAAGCATTTGACTTATGGACACAGACTCACCACATCTGTGTGTGTGTGTGTGTGTATGTTTTGTTTATTTAACAATAAATTAATCTTCTTTTATGTTTTCATTTTCATTTTTTTTTCCTATTTTGCTGAAGGTATGTCGACAAATAAACCGTACATCACAAAAAGTTGTCCAAAAAAAAATATTGATGTACCTTGATTTTTTTTTTCATTTTTTCTTATTGTTATGATCCTGGCCAATTTCGAAGTACGCATTCTCGRGAAAGTWCAATGCCGTCCAATTGCAAGAAGAAATGAATGAACTTGAGATGAGAGAGAGGGAAAGAAAAAGAAGAAGAAGATGAAAGAAAGAAGAAGAAGAAGAAGATGAAAGAAAGAAGAAGAAGAAGATGTACACCAGCAAAGAGCCATGACAATTCCCTTCTTCTTCACCAACCACTCTCCTCCTCCTTATCTCCTCCCCTCTTCAAAATAATAATGTTGAATGGCTGACCCAGATTCAATGTCCAAAYACCTCTTCTACTGCACGTATCAGATAAGGTCCACCATAGCCATCACCACCTTTCTTGCTCCTTTCTCCTTGGCCGAGGCTATGGCGGACTACCAGGGCACTCCCCTGCTGTGCAAAGGACAACACAAAGCAGCTATGGCTGCTCCAGCTCAGGCCGCCATGCCTGACTCTGCCTTAAAGCTTCTTGGTGTAGCTCTACACGAACTGGGGACTTCCAGATGCAGCGCCCACCAAGGTGACGAGGATGGCACCCTCCATAGCCATGTAAGTACCTTTGTCACCCTCCTTCCTAGTCCTGGTCTTCTCTGTCCTCCTGTCCTTGCTGCTCCCCAGCAGTGCTGCTCTGATGCTAGCGCTGCTCCAGGCAGCGCTCCAACCAGTGTGTCGCCAAACTTGCACACAGACAATGAGGAGGAGCACTTCGCTCCTCCTGGAGATATCGCGGCCTGCTTGCCTCTTGGGGAGTGGCTTCCTAGGCGTCCAAGCAACGGGTACCTCCTCCTTTTCGGAGGGGAACATCATTGCAGACTCTGATATTGCCCGTACAGGCCCTAGACTCAGACTGGTTGGACTGGTACCCGCCTAGACCTAGCCTACAACTACTGGGACTCTAAAAATGCCAACTTTGTCTCCTTCTGCGCTCGGCCTCGAGTACCCGGCATGTCTACCTCTACCTGGTGTGGTACCGGCCTACCTGCTACTTGAGTGTTCTTCCGCTGCTTCAAGTGTCGCAGGCCTCCTTCCCCGCTACTTGAGTGTTTTACCCTGTGCAACCCTCAATGCCACGGCCACAGGTAAATACTCTCCACACGGACAAGTACCCTCGCAGGTTACACACACACTCAAACCGACAGACAGTCAGACAGGCATGCAGACCAGCAAGCACACACACACTCAGGCTTAGAGAACTCAGCAACAGGCGGGAAACTCACGAAGGCATGCATCAATTGGCAAAACTCAGAAATATCCTATGTATCTCATTCCGTGTTTGGCAGGTCCTAACATTATCCGTTCTTGGTTGTTTTTGTTTTTCTGATTGTATATATTGTTAAGAAAAAAAGAAGGATTGTAGATGTCATGGGGATCTACAACCCTCTTCCCCCTTTTTTTTTTTTTTTTTTTTTTTCACTTTTTGAACTCCTGAAAAATTCATTGCAGGATCCGTTCGGGGGGCGGGCGAAGGGGGGGGCGTTCAAGGCCCTCGCCCTTTTACTTCAAGGTCAAGCGGTCACATAGTGACCAGCCCCTCTACTTCGAACAAAAAGAAAGAGAAAAGATCCTGGAATCCGAAGTCCTCAGTCGCATCTACTCTTGGGAATAGACTCGCCACCTCTCTCTTTTTGGGTGCGTGCTCTTCCGTTCTTCAGCTGATTTTGCCTAAGGCTTCTGTGGTGTCCTCATGACAGTACATGTGATGAGTGAAGAAGCTCATACTCAAACAAAACCTCGGGGTTGCAACAAATGCATTTGAAAGTGAGGGGCCCCGGACGGAACTGGGCTACAGATCTCAGATGGCATCAAACTATCTGCTTTTTCCAAGGCCGGAAGGTGGACTGTGGCTGATTGACCCCAAGGGCCCAAACTACAAATAATGTCAAAACTGGTCTCTACCGGCCAAGCGGCCAGTGAACTGCATGTCAGACCAGGATGTCGAAATTATTGGTCAAACTTTCCCTACTAGGCTAGTGTATTCTGAGCAAGGAACGGTCTTTCCAGAACCTCAGAGTCTCTGATTGTTGGCTCTAGTGGATGTGTGATTCCGTCTTGCGAGGATCAGTGTCCTCGGTAGGCCTACGGGGCCCTGTCTACAGCCTTACCCGCCCTAAGTGAAGGCGGAGGTGGCCGCCCTAAGTGAAGGCGGGCCTGGCTTTTTGCAAGAGGCCCTCGACTGTCAATTTCATATTTGGGGTCCAGGCAGTTGCGACGCGCCAGTTGGTTGAAAGAAACACAGGCCGAGTACCGAAGACATTTCCACGGCCTACCGGGCCTTTCCAAAGAATGCAGGCCCTGGGCGTGATTCGCAGCCTCATACAGAGACAGTTGGGCGCCCAACCGAAAGAGGCCCCGCAGCCCAGTAGCTGCTGCATCCAGACAGCATCCTGGGGCCTTCCGGAAGCTGCTGGGCCCAGGCCAGCCCAGCCAGGCTGCGAGAGCTGGCCAGCTCTTTTTCCATAAAGGAAAGAGCTCTGGCCAGGCAGCCTCATTCAGGCACTCGCATGCTGGCGGCAGCGCTGCTAGAGCAGATGCTCGTGGGCTGCTGCTAGCACTGGGAGGCGAGGTGCAGCACGTGCGGTCGTGCAGAGGAGGAGGGCGCTGCTAAGGGCAGCTCCATAGCCCAGCCACCATAGCTGGTGGGCTTTGATTACAGTGAAGCGCAGGGGTGGTCTTCGGGTGTCAGAGAGGACAGGTGTGGGTGAAGTCAGGGGATAGGTGAAGGATGATGATGATGATGATGATGTGAGGGCACGTACCTTGTATTGGCGATGGTCTGCATGGGCGGCATCTTCAAGTACTTCGGGCTGCTGCTGATGTCAACAGTTGCATTGTCTTTTTGTAGTCTGTAGTAGCCGTGTTGAGGTAGGCTGGGCGCTGAGCGCCAATGTGAGTGTAAGGGAACTGGATACTTGTGTTGAAGAGGAGAGAATGTGCTGTCCATAAACATTGGTTTTCAGTGCTACGAAACTCCATTGGTGTATTATTGGTGCAACGCTGCTATCTGGACACGGTGTGACTATTTGACTTGCAATGTGATGGTGTGATCTGGGATTGTCATCTCGCTGTTGCTTATTTTCCTTGCAGTCTGCAAGAAACGACCAAAATCCAAAAATCTTGAAATCTCTCTTCTAAACCAGGAAACCACAAAATCCAACCATCCCGGAAAATAAATAAATAAATAAATAAATAAATAAAAATCCAACCACTAGCTATTTTATTCTGAACTCCCGTGGGATCATCCATGCAACTAGGCCCTTAGCCTAGTTTCCTTCTTCCTACCTGACAGCTTCCCAACTGAGAGGGTCTGATTCCCCCTCCAGGATTACCAGAATGCTCTTTTTTTTTTGCAATTTGGAAATGTCACCTTGGATCCCAATGCTTCTTTACCGCTGGATTCCTTCACTTTTTTTTTTTTTTTTTTAAGGGGAGAAAAGATCTTTAAATAAGCACATTCAGCATCATGGACAGCAGTTTGGAGGGAAACATTTGGACCTTTTCTCGATTTATGCGTGTCGTCCTTGCACAGGGGCCATTTGCTAATTTACCCTTCTCTGTATCGTTCCAATATTAACGGGTGTCCCGAAGGACACTTCACCTAAATTATAGGCATTCCACGTCTGAAATTTAGACGAAGCAAGGACGGGTGAAGCTCGCCGTAATACAAGTTATCATTTCTCCGGGGCTAGACTGTGAGGACCCCGGCCTCATTATGAAGGGAAGCTCGGCCCGGTTCCCAGCAGGTGCAGCTGCCCAGCAATGGAAAGCACCCATTGAAAAAAAAAAAAAAAAAAAGGGAAGAAGAAGTAGACGAAGAAGAAGAAGAAGAGGGGGACGGAGCTTGGTTTGGAAATGAGCCAGACGTCAATCGGGACATCCGTTAAAATTGGAACGATATAGAAAAAGAAGATGAGCGTGTCCGTCGCGCAAGGATGGCACGAATACATCCAGATATGGACCAACATAAGAAAGCAACAATGATCATGGCACTGGGACGTGATTGCGGTGAGATGCATCCCGGTCCGGCCGTATTCATGGGCAGACGCATTTAGGAAAGTGCAACTTTTACGACGACCTCAGTCAGTGGTGCGACCATGTGGAGATATGAACCAGAACGGAAACAACGACCAGATCCGTCGCCCTTAGGCGCGGCGAACTTGCGGCCGAAGACCGCAAAAAGCTAGGAACGAAGGAGAGGGGAAAAAAAAAAAAAAAACACGAGCGGGGAGCAGTAGCCGACACAGGTTGCGGCCATCATCACTGTCAGAATTACCGCCTTCACCCGAATAGAAAGCCCGGTCACTACATCTGTATTTGGCACAACGTTCTGTCCACATGCGGCGATAATGACCGGGCGTTCTATTCGAGTGAAGATCGTAGCTTGATTGCCCCTTGACGAACTACTGACTTCACCTTCACAAGTTATAAGTCTTTTTTTTTATACTCCCGCCTAGTTTCCCCTACTACTTTCTATTATTCCTCCCTCAGAATTAGCCTACAAAAAAAAAAAAAAAAAAAAAAAAAAAAAAAAAACTTCACCTTCACAATCAAGCTATCGTCTTCACCCGAATAGAACGTCCACCTGCAGCAATAATAGATGATGTACTTTTTCGTCCCTGGAACTGTTGGAGTTGTCGACCAAGAACCCCCCCGGGGCCAAGTCCCACGTACGCCGATCCTTGATTTCTGGTCGTTGATCTGCCAAATCTGCGGTACGAAATTGATCATTCGGGTAAGTGGGACTTGGGCCCCGTTAGTCTTAAAGGGGGTAAAAAAAAAAAAAAAAACAAAAAAAAAAGAGCCCCAGACTCATCGATATTTTTTTGCAGCTGCGCGCCTACCCCATCTGCCCTACCGCCTTGAACAATGGGCCTCGCTGCACTACTCTTGAAAGGTGCAAGACGGGAGTGAATCTTCCGCTAGAACATGGAAAGATACAGCAACATGATTTCTGTGTTTTGTGCATTTCAAGAGTCGTGCAGCGAGGCCCAATGTGGAGCTTTCTTTGAAACCTCTCCACAGTCTTCCCCCGAATACAACGATCGGTCATTAAAGCTGAATTTTTAGGGTATATTTCAGTCTAATAAATTCAGCTATACCGACCGTACGTTGTATTCGGGGGGAAGACTGTAGACTTTAGACCGTGGACCAATGTGACCCCTGAAGGCAGCTGACAACGGGGAGACGAAAAAGTGGCTAAAAAAAATGAGGGTGCTTTCGGGGTCAGATTGGTCGGGTAGCCGTACCCGACCCGACCATGGCCCCCCGTTTCCCCTCTACGGCTTTTCCTCGCTTCGCATTATTGATAATGGTTCCGTCAGTGCGCGTTCGGCCGACTCTCTCTCTCTCTCTCTCTCTCTCTCTCTCTCTCTCTCTCTCTCTCTCTCTCTCTCTCTCTCACACACACACACACACACACACACGCACACACCCACCCACACACATATGCACACACGCATACACGGGCACATAACCCTGCGGCTCTATCGCGGCGCAGACGTATGCGCGTGGAGACTGCTGGGCCCGCGGTGAGGGCTCTGCTGCGATCGGAGGCCCCGTGATGTGCAGGGAATCGACATCGCTTCAGTCTTACGCAAGGTGCTTTTGCCGCGCCTGGTCGCCAGGTGCAACCACTTTAGCGCCCTTCTCCAGATGCGATCGTCCGCTCTGACTCTGTATGCCCTTAGGCGGATTCTATCTCCAATCTTGACGGCCTGAGCCTGTCCGCGCTCAACGCCGTTCCATCTCGACCTCTGATTACAATTATTCGGCGAACGGTCACGATGACTTCCGTTTGCTCTTCTCTATGTCTTCGGATGGGCACAGTGCTGTGGCTTGCGACAACCTTCACTCTGCATTGTGTCTCTTCTGCACCTCCATCGAGCACGCGCGATGGAAGCCATGACATGGCGGTCGAGTCGAAGAGCGGTAGGCCTCGGGCGCAAGCGAGCCGGCACAGCAGCGCGATCAACTTCCGCGAGAGCGAGCTGGAGAAACTCCTCGCCGCAGGGAAGGAACTGCCTGACTCCCTTGCCGAGCTGTACTTGCGCGTCCTCGTGCCATCGCCGACAGTTGCGACCAAACTGCAAGGGCGACGGCGCATTAAGTTGATGAAACCAGCGCAGCAAAGCGCTGGTGCGATCAACTCCCTTCAGCGGATCGTCCGCGAACGTCACAGCGGTCTTTCTGCGCCTCCGTCGGGCAACCGCCATGGAAGACATGAAATCTCGTCGGAAGTTTCTAGGAGTGGTAAGCGCCGGGCGCATCGGGCGCAAGGCGGCGGCCGAGATAGGAATATGCGCAGGCTCAACGACAGCGGGACAGAGGATATCCTTACGCTGGCCGAGGACAAGCATTTTCCCGAGTCGGTCGCGAAGTTGCTCTTGCGAGTCCTCGAGACATCGAGGGGAAGAGGCCCTGTCGAGATGCACGGACGGCGGTCTGAGTATCGCTTTTCGTCGCAGCGAAGCACTGCTGCGCTGAAATTCGCTGACAAGGCGATTCAGGAGACTGGCACCGAAGGTGGAGAGCCGCACGCTCGCGTCCTTGAGATGATTGGTGTTTACAACGTTTCGTTCCCGTTCGTAGACAGCAGCGTGCTGACTTTTCGAGGCAAGGCATCTTTGCCGTGCAACCGTCCAGTGTGGACGAATCGATTTACTTCCTTTCGGAAGCGGGAGTCTGGACGTTGCCGACCACCTCAAGCTCGTACGGTGCTGCATCGGTCAGTCGTGCTGCTGGCCCTTTCTACGATGCGCAAGCTTTCACGATCGTGGACATGAGCAAGTACGGGGGCCAAGGGAGGTTCCTTCTAGTGTCCGAAGCCGAATATGACCGCCTGCGAACTGTCAGTTTGGACTCGTATGAACCGCCTTTCGGTGTCCGCGACATGACAGGCTTCGAATCTAACAATCTTAGCCTTGCTTTGGATCCGTCACGGCCGTACGTTTACTTTTCAACGGATCATAGGCTGTACAAGATGTATCTCCCCTCTTCCGGACTTGGGTCAGTACTCCCTCTCATTGCTGATGCATCGGCGATTGGATCGGTGCAAGCCAGCATCCGCGGACCGGTTCAATATAGCATCCACGGTAATGCGGGTTTCGATTCGGTTCGCGTGAGCCAGCATGCCTTTTCCGCTGACGGCCAGTTCATGTACGTTGCGGACGAAGGAGGAGACGCCGTCTACCGAGTTTGGATTGCAAGCGGAGAGGTGGAGAATCTCGGTAGTGGTGATGTTGATGTGGACGTGGACGGCCCCTATGGATTAGCGTTGACATCGGACGGTTGTAACCTGTTCGTGTCAGAGAGAATTACAGGGAGGATCACGCTAATCACCTTCGAAAGCAATGGTGGCCTCGTGAGGAGAGTCCGAACACTCGCAGGTAAGACCAGGGGTCGCTATACGGAAACGGATCGGCCTCGTGAGGCGAGTCCGACCATTATTGGCCTTTTCGGTTTGGCGATCTCCCCAGATGACTCCTATCTATACGTCGGATCTTACGACAAGGGGCCGGCGATCTACAAGTTCGACATACGCACTTTGGGCTTGCCCTCCTGCTCTCCGATCTCGTCTACGACTCGATCCGTCCCCCCTATTCCTTCTAGCTATCCACTGCCCTCGATCTCAAATTCGTCCTCTGCTGCTATCAGGAGCTCCAGCCCCCAGGCTGCTAAGAAGCAAACCGATCTCACACCCGTTGTCATCACTTTAGCCGTCGTTTTGGCCGTCGTAGGAGCCGCGCTCGGCGGATTAGTGGTCTGGTGTCTATGCGGCATACAGCGACGGCGGCGAGAGGCGGAGTCACGAGCAATCGATAGGCCCCGGCAGTCAATCGATACCACAGATGCCCGGGCGCCGGGATCGCAGCCGATCGAGCCAGTGGCTTTCACAAACAATCCGACACGTGCGGGGAACTGGTGGCAAAGATCAGCCGCAGGAGGGACGCTGGCCAATGATCGTCTTGACGTTGTTGTTGCGTAGAGTTCGCTTTCCTTTCTCGTCAAAAACGGCCCAGGGGCAGAATAAGACACCTCAATCAGGCTCCCATCGCGGATCATCGTGATGGAGACGGTTTGTTCAACGCCCGGTACTGCTCAGTAGGTGATGTGGACAGGCGGCCGAATGAACTGGGAGGAGTGATGCCATCCATCAATGAAGCGGATAAAAAGGCTTAGGACTCCGAAGTCTGCATTTTACACATGTGGAGTGAGCATCATACGGTTTGGTGAAGTAGTTTCGAGGTGAGGCTGAGGTCTGATTTGATTCACATGGCTTACCAATCGAGGGTACGAGTAGGATTACGTGTTTTTCCGATTTTCTAAGTGCGGGATCCGCAAGTTTTAGAGCGCCCCGTGAGGGTTTTCGACACTGAAAAGCGGCAAGAGGTAGTGATGTAGGGGATACGCCAACAAATGTAGGTCATTCAACCGTCGTTAATGTCCACCCGGTCGATCGATGCGTGTGTGTGTGTGTGTGTGTGTGTGTGTGTGTGTGTGTGTGT